ACCTGCTGCGGTGGAAGCTCCTTCAAGCAGTAAGATCACTCCCTCTCTAACTGGCTCTCATCCTGCCCAAAGCCAGGAAGCCGGGTCCTGCACCCTGCCCCATCCTTCGTTCTACCCGGTGTCCACTCATGCCCCACCCTTCCCTCTGCCCAAGGCCAGAGCCAGTGTCCCTGTCCTACCTCTCCCTCTCAGCCCCTAGAACAGAGCTCTCCTAAGACCTGCCCACTTCTGTCCATCAGCTAGGGTCTCACAAGGAGCCACAACAAGAGTGGGAACAGGCAGCAGAAGGGCCAGGCCTAGCTACTGCAGGAGGGACTGTGACACAAGGAACAGGTGAGGGGGAAGAAGAGAGAAATCGAGGTTGGGGGCGAGGGGAGGAAGAGCCTGGTCAGGTGGGGGGAGAGGAGGAGGTGTGTGAGCCTGGTTGGGGAGGGGCAGGGGAGGAGCTGTGAGGGGTGGGTATGGAAGGGGCTGGGAGGAGGTATGAGGGAGGAGCTCTGGTGGGGGAGGGGAGAGGACAAATTATACACTGCAGGGTGGAATGGAGAGCCAGTGGACAGAGAGGGGAAGATCTCAAGTATTTGGAAATAGCCATGCATTTCCTCTGGGTCCCTCTGAGACTCAGAGGCCTGGGTCCACAGCCTCACCAGTACCTCTTTTGGTCATCTCCCTGCCTGGGCATACACTCATGCTCATGCCCTTCTACCCTTGCTCAGCTCCTTCAGCAGCGACGATCCCAGTTGCAGTTCCACCTCCACCTCCGATGCCTCCCTCCTTGGGAGCATTTTATAACCTGTGGTCTGTTATGGGGGCCCAGGGAATAGACCCTCGCAGAGGGAAGGAGGTCTCAGGTAGGTGGAAACAGCCATGCATTCTCTATGGGACCCTGAGTCCTGGGTCCACAGCCTCACCAGCACCCCTTCCTGATTATCTCCCTGCATGGATGCAGACTCATACTCTTGCTTTTCTCTGTCTGCTCAGCCCCACCCACACCAGTTCCACCAGCAGCACCGGTCCCAGTGACAGCTTCACCTCAGATGCCTCTCTCCTTGGGAGCCTCTATTAACCTGTGGTCCGATGTGGGGGCCCAGGGACTACTCTCTCACCAAGGGTTGGAGATCTCAGGTAGGTGGAAACAGACCTGTGTTACCTCTAGGACCCTCAGGCCTGGGTCCATAGCCTCACCAGCACCCTTGCCTGGATGCACACACAAACTCATGCCATTCTTCCCTTGATCAGCCCCAGCAGCTCCATCCGCAACGGTCCCAGCAGCAGCTCCACCTCAGATGCCGCCCTCCTTGGGAGCCTCTGTTAACCTGTGGTCTGATGTGGGGGTTCAAGGAATAGACCCTTGCAGAGGGAACGAAGTCTCAGGTAGGTGGAAACATTCATGCATTCTCTTTGGGACCCCGAGGCCTGTGTCCACAGCCTCACCATCACCCTTCCCTGATCATCTCCCTCCCTGGGCACACACATAGACTCATGCCCTTCTCCCCCTGCTCAGCCCCACCCACACCAACTTCAGCAGCAGCAACGGTCCCAGCAGCAGCTCCACCTCAGATGCCTCCCTCCTCAGGAGCTTTTGATGGCCTATCGTCTGATGTGAGGGCCCAGGGAATAGACCCTCAAGAAGCGCAGAGAGACCGGAGTGACTCTGAAGCCCATCAGCAGGGAAGACTTCCAGGGTTTTGCAGTCCTGGTGGTTGGGACAACCCTTCGGGTAAAGCCCTGAATTTCTCACAGAGGAGAATTTGCTTTCGCTGTGGGAGGGAAATCTTGGTACAAAGTTCATGAATCCGGGGATAGTAACTTCTGAAACATGTTCCAGAAGGAAATCAATTTTCTCTTAAGAGTTGGGGAGGGTGCAGGGTGGCATGGAGGGGTGGTAGGGGGGAGCGGTGTACCATAGTTTGAACGTGTACCCTAAAAGTTTATGTATGGGGGACCAGACAGTAGAGGGAGACTTGTGGCTCTGGGAGACTGACCCACATGGTAAATTTTCTGGTTTTTGTCTGTAAACCTCCCTGAGTATGCCTAGAAATCCTGTGTCTATAATAAGGAGCTGGCTAAAGCTGAAGGTGGACCACAAAGTTAAGACCCTATTCCAGGTGCTGTTTCTTTGCTCCTGTATTTTTCTTGTTCATAGAATAAATAAACTTTAAAAAATGCATGTGTTAAAATTTGGTAAGCTATTATATTGGTGTTGAGAGTGGGAACTTAATCCAATTATGGTATTAAAAGGTGAGGCTCCCATGATTGATCCCTGGTAGCTTTATAAAAGACAGGCACGCATGCTCCTGCGCTCTCGCCATGTGATGTCTTACACCATGTCGGGCCTCTGCAGAGTGTTCCCACCACCAACAAAACCCTTACCACATGCATCCTCTGGACCTTGGGCTTGCCCCAAAATGTAAGCTAAGCAAATCTCATTATTATATATGCTCTAACTTGGGTACTCAGCTATATTTTTAAAGACAGATTTTTGCTATAGAGTGTGTGTGCTTGCCGGAGAGATAGACAGAAATCGAGAAATCACCTCCCCGGGAGGATGGCCATGCTGCAATCCCTTCTGTATTCTCCTCGGGATGTTGGGCATACAAATATCAGGCATGAGTTTCAAGCCTCCAGTTCCGGGATGCAGTTGACCACATGGTTGTTCAGCGACGTAAGTCTGCTGGTCCTGTCAACTAGTTTTTTGTTTTGTTTTGTTATAATTTTGTTGTTTATCTATCTATTTGACCACAGAGAGAGGGAAAATGAAGAAGCAAGCCACCAGGCCAGGGACTCAAACTGCAGTTAACCACGTGGGAATCTAGCACATTAACCAACCATTAAGTATTGGAGAACAGACTGACAGCCTCCTGTCAGTACCCCAGTAAGAGGGGTATATATATTGGGAGGTTGGGGAAGAGAGACAGACGTGTTTTGATGACCTGTGTTCCAGCACTTTAGCATTCAGTACCCCAGAACTACTACTGCTTCTATTTGGGTCTCCAAATAGTCTGGTAACCCTTGGCAGCCCAGCCACATGTGTAATACCCCACTATCCCCTCCCCAACCTAGGCCTTAGATCAGGAGTGGAATTTGCTGGACACAGACAGACATCCTTAGCCTATCAGATTCTCACACTAGGGAATTAACAGGAAATTTCACAATCAGGATGGTCATGGACCACATGTGTCACTTGGAGTTGGAGCCAGGCCCTGTCTGGGGGAGCAGACTGAGTCTTTAACAGGTGAGTGTCTTTTGGAGGACACAAGCATTAGGTTCCAGGAAGCAGACAGGTGCAGAGAAGCATTCATTGTGTGATTCCAGAGAGAGTGAGAGAGCAGATTTTCACCATTTTTCACTTGCACTTGTTCTTGCAGTTGCGCCAAGTGAAAATCCACTATACACACATCCTGTTTTCTCAAGCTAAATTAATTGGGTTTCTGTTCAGGACAACTAGATTATTTTCAAGTCAGAAATTGGCACCAGGAGAACAATTGTTTCTGAGTAGGGCACATGTGCTCACCAGAGACAGAAAGAAAGTGAGAAATGAGATTCACACCCACAGTAGATGGTCATGCCACAATCCCTTGTTCTCCATTCTCCTCTCTAGATTATGGGCATGCATGCACACATACTTGGCATGATTTTCAAGCCACCAGGTCTGGGACTTGAACTGCAGTTGGCCATGTGGTAGCCTGACACCTTAACTACTGTGCCATCTCCTGACACTGGGAGAGCAATTTCACACAAAAATTCATCATCAAAAAATAAAATGTTGAGGGAACCAGCAGTTAGCGTAATGGCTATGTCGCTGGACTCCCACGTAGTCGACCGCGGTTCGTGTCCTGGACCCGGTGGCTTAAAACTCATGCCGGACGGGCCCCAAAGGAAAAAAAATCAAAAAAAAAAAAATGTTGGGAACCAGCAGTTAGAGTAACGGCTATGTAGCTGAACTCTCATGTAGTCGACCGTGGTTCGCGTCCCGGACCCCGTGGCTTAAAACTCACACCGAGCGCGTGTGCGTGTGTGCCCAAGATCCTGAGAGGAGAATGGAGGAGAAGGGATTGCGGCCTGACCATCCCCCCGGGGGGTGGCGAGCACACACGTCCTATAGCGAAAACCTCTCCAAAAAAGAAAAAAAAAATGTTGAGGGAACCAGCAGTTAGCATAATGGTTATGTCGCTGGACTCCCACGTAGTCGACCGCGGTTCGTCTCCCAGACCTGGTGGCTTTAAACTCATGCCGGGCACGTGTGCGTGCCTGCCCAAGATCCCAAGAGGAGAATGGAGGAGAAGGGATTGCGGCGTGACCATCCCCCTGGGGGGTGATTTCTCGCTTTCTGTCTCTATGTCTCTCTCTTTGTCTGGCAAGCGCAGGTACCCTATAGCAAAAACCTCTCCAAAAAAATAAAAATAAAAAAATGTTGAAACTGGTTGGGTATTTGCAGTGGGATGTGGCAAGTCAGGGGAATTCCTGCATGCCAAGAGTCCTCAGAAGTGAAAAACATAGAGCTCGTGTTGCTACCAAAGAGGTGAGTCTGCTGATGGTGATGAATAGTGCCCAGAGGGATCACTAGTCTAGGTCATGAGCCCAAAGCCTAGTGCTGTCTTGAGAAATTCTCTCCTTTAACCCATTACCAAGATAGAAAGGGAAATCTGATTGCAGTATTCTTGGTGAATTAAAAGACATGAAATAGAACAGAAATGTGACTCAATGGGAAATGAACCTAGAGAGGGAAAAGTGGGGAGGATGGGAGTGGGTATGAGTAAGAGGCAGGTGGGAGGACGGTCCACTTCTCGCTGATGACTATAAGTTAATGGGTACTACTTGGTCAGCTTAGCCCACAGGTGGAAGGATGGGGAGGAATTATGCCTGGACACAACTGGAGGAGCCTGAACAGGGCCTGGAGACTAGAGACTGAAAAGCTATCATGAGCCTGGTTTATCTCTGCAGCTGTTAGACGTGACTTTGGGCTATCTTCTGTTGGGGAGGATATGGACAGCTACTCATGCCCGGTGCGTGTGTGTGCGTGCGTGCGTGCGTGCCCAAGATCCCGAGAGGAGAATGGAGGAGAAGAGTCAAGGTACTAGGGGCCAGATCCCTAGTTAGTAAAGGGCCTGTAATTGTCAATGTCCTTGGTCTTGTTTGTATGTCAGTAGGGCAGGATTTCTCAACCTTGACATTCATGGCATCTACAGCCAGTTTTTATTTCAGGGGTCTGTCCTGTGCATTGTAGGATGTTTGGCAAAATCCCTAGCATCTGCCCAGTAGATGCCAGTAACCCTTTGCACTACCACCACCTTGCACATGTACCTCCTCTCACTCCGACGTGTGACAACCAGAACATCTCCAAATATTGCCACGTGTCCACTAGAGGGCAAAATTGTCCCCAGCTGAAAACAATGCAGGCAATAATGTGCTTCAGAACAGCATTGACAAGATGGGGAGGTGTGTACTGGTTGAAGATATTTTGATCAACTGGACTGGGGAGATAAGTTCACATACTGAAATGTTCACTTTGTAAGCTAAACAATGTGATTGTATATATGTTAAAAAAAAAAAAAAGAATCAAAAGACTATGAAGGCTGATAGGCTCTGAGGAATGTCATTGGGTCTGGCAATTACTTTGGATCTTTGAGCATGTCCAAAGCGTGGTGTGGGCAGAAGCCAAACTGGGGAGTGAGTGGAATTGAAGTGGAGCCAGTGAGAGGAAGTTCTTCAAGGACTCTTGGCTTGAAGAAGAGGAGTGAAGTGGGATACAAGGGATATAAGATGGTGAGAAAGTTATTTTGAATATTGGAGCAACTTGACTCAGAGAAGGAAATTTCAAAAGAAAGTTTTAAAACATAAGTGCATAAAAGAATAAGAACATGCACACTGCATCAGAGGCATAGCCATGATACTATTATTTTTGAGAAATTTTTGCTATAGGGTACATGTGCTCACCAGATGGACATAAAACAAGAAATCATCCCCCGGGGGGGGGGGGCCGGCCCATGCAA